TATATATATATATATATACATACTGTATATACATATAATCAAACATATAGATGACAAATTGTAATACTGAAACTGTCTTTCATGTACAAGTTAAATGGTTACAGAGAGAGGAGCACATTAAAATCCCATATGCATTTATGATGCATGCTACCATTGATAAGAGAAATGAACTGAACACATTCAAATGGTGACTGAAATACACTTCCATTGTGTTTCAAATACCACTCATAATTAAGCTGAGAATTGAAGAAAAACCAAGTGAAATCACTTTCTGTGCATGTATAAATGTGCAGAGGATTTGGTGTGTTTACGGGTGCATGTAGTGCTCTGGTGAATATTAAACCACAAACTAAAAAGACAACAACRAAGCCATCGTGARAAAATGCTAAAGGAAGTCTTTGTGGTTTTAGAAGTATCAGAGGAGCCAATAGTTTTAATGAGGCAGCAATGCTGCACATGCCAGGAAATGATAAGGTGTATACAGGTTAGAATAACGGCAGACAGCATACCACTATAAAAGTACAGTGTGCAGCTGTTCTAACAGAGTCAATGCAGACTCCACAGCCTACCAGAAACAGTGAGACATTTTGGAAACAAAGGGATCCTGAGTTGTTCCTTAAAATGACTGGTAAGAACACAAAAAACTTGACTATTTTCTTTCTGAGCACTATGCTATTTGTTATTACCGCATAAACTTATGTTCATGTGTATGTCTGTTTGATATTCTTTAAAGACTTGAGAGAAATACAGTTTGAATATGTTCAGGGTAGAATAAGAGTTCTGTTTGAGTTTCAACCCACTCAATGTGTCTTTTAGAGGGCATTCGCATATTGAGTTGTTGTCTGTAGTCAAAAGGTTGTTTGAGTGCATGTCTTTTCCTGTGTGTCTATGTGTTCCTGCACACCACCCTCATATTCCCTCACACATGTGTGTTGATGTGAGCAGAGGGGGATGTCACATAAGAAATGTCCTTTTTAATCAGGGGAAAAAATATAAAATGACTCGGGAGCAAGGCAAGCATATTAATGTGCCTCATTTGCATACGCTCGTCAGTCAGGATACGTTTATAAAAAAATGCACACAAACTGGATTCGTCAGTTCATTTCACATTATTCCATTGTCTATCTGCCTTTGTTATATGTTAAAGATAAAGGCAGAAATCAAATTGAAGAAAAGGGCAAGCTGCTATCTCCCCAAATGAGCAACAGCTCATCAACCTAGTTTAAAKCACAGATTTTGATTCCAAAAGGCAACAGCTTCTGAAAAACGGGCCCATTCAAATAAGGTCTTCTTCAATATATGCACGGCTGATGATTGAAGCTAGGGTGTAACCGAAATACAATTCTACATCAAAGAGACACTGCATACATATTTCTTATATACACATTTAGAAACAAGTGTATGCATGTTTATGTGTGAATGAATGTAAATACATAGTACATTATTATTAGGATTTTAGAAAGATTTTTTTCTAAGATAAGTAAGGCATGATTCAAGTCACTTGAGAAAAAAGAAGACAATCAGAATATCTGTTGTACATTTAAGCAGCCTTTGAAAGAAGTATATTGGACTGTTATACTGAATCTGGCAGAACATAGCATACCCATTATATTCTTGATGAATTCAGTCGAATTGCTTTATGATACTTGTGGAGAGAAATAAGAAGAATTCAAAGGGCAGCCCACAAGTGTCACATTCCTTTACACACAAGTGGAGACTGGTCACAGTAAGTAATTCATGTCCTCAAGATAAGAATCCACCATCAATAGTGTGTTGGAGGGGGCAGTGGCTACAAGAACAGGCATTGGTTATGTCTGCTAACCTCCCACTGAGGAGACAGAGAGGAAATGAACATTTTCAAATGTGCAAGAAGACAAATGTAGAGTTTACTATTCTTCAAAAATACATGGTAGGTTGGGACAAAAAAAGACAGTTTTGCCAGTGAGGTACACTTTGTGTCTTTAAAGTGCTCACTGAACATGTGTGAACATCTTTAATGTGGGTGTGCCCTACCAAAACTTCATCTACTGGCTTTCTATTGTTTCTTTTTTTTTTTTCTTTCATAGCAAACTTACCTGATTCTAGTTCTGTACACTGCTATGAAAGGATTTTTTGATGACTGTAATCATAAACTTTAGCCCAGTGGCAGCCACTGTTACCAAGCAGCATACTAATCAGCTTAATGAGATATTATACAATATTTTGTTGACCAAAGCAGAACCATGGTTATTGTTTCTGAAGGTTTGACCCCTGTAAGCAGCCAGGAAATGTGCGAATAGATCTTTATACCTCTCCATCTGGAGMGCAGATGGATCTGCATTAAAATCAGTGTTGCTCTTTTTTAAATTATTTATCCACGCATGTTACACATATGGAATGAAAACACTTTCCATGACAGCACAACACAAAAGAAAAAACAAGATATTTTTAGTAGGATTACAGCAACTTAATGCGTACAAAGTGATTCTGTGGCTTGCAGTGCAGAGAACAACTTGAACAAAGGTAATCAGAAATTAGATAAGTCTGCCAATAAC